CAGCTCGGCAGCTCCTGTATTTTTTTTTGTCTGCTCTTTGATGGTCAGTGAGCATCAAAGCTACAGGTTGGAGTGTCTGCCCCCTGGTCATTGTGTGTGGGTACTGGCCAGTCAGCTGGTGTTGCTTAGGCTTTTATAGGTTCTTACAACTCAACAACATAAAGATAAACCATTTACAAAATAGTCAAAAGACCTGAATAGACACATATCCAACAAAAATGTACAAATGGCTGATAAGCACATAAAAAGATGTTCAACATTAGTCATTAAGGAAATGAAACTAAAAAACTATACCCACTAGGATAACTATAATAGGAAATACAAAATAAGTGTTGATGGGGGTGTGGAAAATTATAAATTCTTGTTTTTGCTCTTGGGAATGTACTAATAAAATGGTATAGTGGCTATAGCAAAGTTTGGTGGTTCCTCAATAAGTAAAGCATAGTATTTGCATATAACCTAGCAATTCCACTCCTAGGTATACTACTGCAAAGCCATGAAAACAGGGAGCTGAACAGATATTTGTATACAAATCATCCTAACGCCACAATTGCCAAAAGGAGGAAAGAACCCAAATGTCCATCAACAGAATGAACAAAATGTGGAATATGCATACTATTATTTTTTAATTTTTATTTTTTAAAAAATATATTTCATTGATTTTTTACAGAGAGGAAGAGAGAGGAAGGGAGTTAGAAACATCGATGAGAGAGAATCATTGATCAGCTGCCTCTTGCACACCCCCTATTGGAGATGTGCCTGCAACCAAGGTAATGCCCTTGACTGGAATCAACCCGGAACCTTTCAGTCCGCAGACCGACACTCTACCACTGAGCCAAACCGGTTTCAGCTATACTATTATTATTTAAGCATAAAATGAAGTTCTGAAACATGCTACATCATGAAGAAAACGAGACATCATGCTAGGGCACAGAAACCAGACACAAAAGATCACGTTATATGATTGCATTGATATGAAATATCCAGACTAGGCAAACCATAGACACAGAAAGCAGATTAGTGTTTTCTAGAGGCTGGGTAGATACTGTGGAGTTAATACTTAATGAGTAAAGGGTTTCCTTTTGGGATGATGAAAATATTCTGGAACTAGAGAATTGTGATGGGGAATGTACTACTCATTGAATTGTACACTTTAATATAGTTAAAATGGTGAATTTTACATTGTGTATATTTTATAATAAGTAATTTTTAAAAGTTTTAAAAGATTTTCTAACAAAAATTAGAGGATATGAGGAGAATCTATTTTATTGTTTGCAAAACTATAAATTCTAATGTGTCTCTATAGCATATTCTTTTTAAAAAAATATATTTTATTGATTTTTTACAGAGACAAATAAGAGAGCTAGAAACATCGATGAGAGAGGTACATCGACCAGCTGCCTCCTGCACACCCCCTACCGGGGATGTGCCCGCAACATGTACAATGTACCAATGTACATGCCCTTGACCAGAATCTAACCTGGGACCCTTCAGTCCGCAGACCGACGCTCTACCACTGAGCCAAACCGGTTTCGGCTCTATAGCATATTCTAAGATTCTACATCAAAAAGATTCTACAAGCCTTAGCCAGTTTGGCTCAGTGGATAGTGTGTCCGCTTGTGAACCAAAGGGTCCCGGATTTGAAGGTCAAGGGCACATACCTTGGTTGCAGGCTCCTCCCTAGCCCAGAACCTGGTAAGGGCTTATGCAGGAGGCAACCAATAGATGTGTTTCTCTCACATTGATGTTTCTCTATGTCCTTCCCACTCTCTTCTACTCTCTCTAAAAATCAATTAAAAATATCCTTGGGTAAGGATTAAAAAAAATAGTTCTACAAAAGGTTAATTTTTTACTATGCCAGATAAAAATTCTAAGGACTATTTAATATAAAAGTATGTTATATGTTCAAAAAAGATATGCCTTTCTTAATAGGAAAATAATCGAACAAAGTGTTAAATCTGAACCTAGTGTTTCAAGGTGAACAAATCTCCTCATTGCTCAAATGCAAAGCAAACGTCTGTAGGAAACTGAAAAATATTAATGGCGATACCATGTAAAGTATGATTATCCAAATTCCCATTAGTAATGCTCTTTTCTTTTTAATGAACAATTTGTTTTTGCAATTTTCTGTAGATGAGAGAACAGAACATGTTCATAACATACCTGTCATTCATAGCATTAAACAGAATGATCTTCAAAACAAAATAAAAACAGCTACTGTAAAAAAAAAAACAAAAACACCTTATGAATGCTAAGATTAATAAAAACAACTTTGGAAAATCTTCAGAAGCAGATGCCTAAATAGAATAAACTGATTTCCTGAACTGTACACACATGTACAAGACTTTCCAGTTTGGCAAGACAACATACTGAGGCCTTTCAACAGACTCAGGAACTGGATTTGAAAAGGCTTCTGAATTTGTGGTTTGGTAAAGTTCTTCTAAGAGAATATAATATGGCCTAGAGCTCAGAACAACAGAAAAGGTAGATCAAGAGCCATAACTAAAACAAAAGTATTTAATCTCTTATTCTCTCCTCAAGGAAATCTAGACTATTCTCATATTGACTTTATGCAACCATTTGACTTTGAGGATTAGAATGAAAGAATGTTTATACTTCTATTTGATTTTTCTAAAATGATAATTAAGAGTACCTAGCCACCGTGAGGATTCCTGGGAATTTTACTCAACCTTTACCATACCCTCCTCCCTCTGCAAATTCCTATGCTATTACCACTAAACCACCACAAAATAAACTTAAAAATAACAGAATTGATGTGAATCAGTCAAAGAAATCACTAGAAAGATTAGGATCTTCAGTTTTATAACTTTCTTTACAACATTTGAATTTTAAAGGTCTTCTCTAGAAATTTTTTTTAAATAAAACTTTTATTGGAGAAAAATAGAACCACCACATACACAGGAAAAAGAACACAAAAATGTAACCGATACAGAATTGAAAAGTCACAATAACCCAATGTTTGCAATTACTTTTCAATTTCTTAAACAGTTCTACTCAATTTGTTTTTAATAGCCTTGCCAATTTTTCAGATGAACCAGCATCAAGTTTTCAAAAATTAAGAGCCTCAGAGAAGGGACCAGCTGTCAAGATGATAAAGGTGACACCAAGAATCTCCTCCTAACAGGACAAATCTATATAATTTCTTAAGAGTAACTACCAAGTCTTGTGGAACCTGTCTGTATATCTCAGAGACCATCAGGGATGAGTTAGAACACTGATGTAGATGGTCCAATATGGAGAAAAGGCAAACAAAATAATTGTATTTCCTGGTCAGATGACCTCATTTAAGGAAACACCAGAAGAGCTGAGAATATAAAGGTAATGACTGTTCAAAAGAAAATTAGGAAGGCATTCAAAATACCACATATTTTTACACAACAGTGTGCACATTGATGCAATTAGAAACACAGGCAACTTTGTTAAAATAACTGTTCACAGGTCTTTGAGAACTCAAGAAAACAATACCAGACACAAAAACAACGTCTCTGGCTAGAACCTAGGTATTCTTTCTAATGACTCCAAATAGTAAAGGTCATAAACTACTGTAAAAACGGTTCTAATTTTTAAAAACAAGAACAAAATTTTCTACTTTTTCTTTGTGATCAATTAATTTCAAAACTTCAAGAAAAAACAAATATGTAAGAAAAAAATAAAATAAAATAAACAAACAAACAAACAAACAAAAACACCACTGGTGGTAAAGATAAGCCTTTTACTCTCAAGATCAATCTGAAGAACGATACTTTTGCTATAATCTATGTCTGAACAATCCTAGGACATTCCCCTGAAAAGTAGGTGCCTGGTCATGAGAAATCTTCAAACAATTTTTAAAGAAACAAGATCAGCATGAAATAGAATTTGAAATTCCCAACTAGGGAATGGGTGGAGAAAATGAGGGGATCTTTACAACTCGGGCTTTAGGAAGTTAGAATAAAAGACAGTAAAGGCTTATTTACCAACGAAGAGTTAGGGTGCTTCCCCCCCAAAAAAACTTTGGTAATAAAAAATAAGAATGCTAAATCCTAAAAAGCTTGTAACAATCTACAATTGGTCCAAGTTAAACACAAAACTGTTCAAGCAACATTAAAGTCTAAATGAAGTTGAAAACTACCTGATGAATTTTTAGTTGTGTAAAAATTTACAAAATATGCGGGTTTTGGTCTCTTTTGCAATGTTCATGTTGTATACATTTTTAATATGAAGAAAGATGGATTTTTCTCTATTTTGTTCTTCTAGTACAAATGATCAGCAATTTTCTATTTCAGCTATTTTTATAAGTACCTGTTAATTAGCACAGTAAACTCAAGGCTAAGCCATATACACACATCTCACAGCCATAAATGGAACATTTGAGGATGTGTATATATAAGATTATATAAGCAACTGTCCCTCTACTTGAAAACTTGTTTCCAAATAAATTTTTCAAAGCATCCCTTTGAGTGTAACAGAACATTACTTAGTAAAATGGAATTAGTTGCGACAACTTATTTTTCTTTTCAAGGGAAATCACAAAACAGGTGAACAACCAAGTCCAGGGTGGTTTTTCTATTTGATAAATACATCCAGAACTCTGTACAGTAAATAAAGTTTGCATGCAGTTTAAGTATCTTTAAATGACATTTTAAGCAAATAAACCTTTGCTTCATAATTAATGGTGTATAAGAACCCCCCTTTTTTAATAGCCATGGGGACCTCTTCCCTATTTCCAAAGAGGAATCGTGAAGACCAAATACTTTCTTAAGAGTTTTCTGTACATCATACTAAATAACATGCAAAGAGTTCAACAACATTCTTCTTAAAGGTAAGTATTACTCTTTGAATTGGCATGTTAACCACTGAAAATGTCCACTCAACTATTTCCATTACACTGCTTCATTTGGTCATCGGTAGTATAAAAGAAGTCAAACAATATAGGATCAACAAGTTAAGTTTATCCACTGGCTACAGCATGAAACACAAAATGCTCCAAGGCCAAACTTTTATGCAATGTAGTTGTACTGATTTGGGTTTTCTTTATCTCTTTCCATGTAGTCCCGGTCAATTAAGGATTCTATTCTCTTCTTAAGATCAGCAGGCTGTAAGAGAAAGCAAGTTTTCAGTGCAAAGCTTATAGTCACTGGCTCAAGCCCATTCACCAACACCCCATTAAAAAAAGGAACGGCCCTATTTGGTTTGGGCAGTGAATAGAGCTTCGACCTGCAGACCAAAGGGTCCTGAGTTCAATTCCAATCAAGGGCATGTACCTTGGTTGCAGGTTCCTCCTTGGCTCTGGCTCTGGTCAGGGCATGTGCAAGAGGCAACCAATTGATGTGTTTCTCTCACATCGATGTTTCTCTCTGTCTTTCCCTCTCTTCCACTCTACCTAAAAATCAATGGAAAAATATCCTCTGCAGAGGATTAAAATCATCATCATCATCACCATCTAAAAAAGGAACTGTTTGGTTGTTAATCTCCTTAATTTTTTAAACTTTTCACTTTTGTCTTTTTGTTAATCCTCACCCGAGGCTTTTTAAAATATGTTTTTATTTTTATTTATTTTTAAAAATATATATTTTATTGATTTTTCACAGAGAGGAAGAGAGAGGGACAGAGAGCTAGAAACATTGATGAGAGAGAATCATTGATCAGCTGCCTCTTGCACACCCCCTACTGGGGATGTGCCCGCAACCAAGGTACATGCCCTTGACCGGAATCGAACCTGAGACCTTTCTGTCCGCAGGCCAACGCTCTATCCACTGAGCCAAACCGGTCCCGGCTAAAATATGTTTTTATTGATTTCAATAAAAGGAAGAGGGAGGAAGGGAAGGAGAGGGAGAGAGGGGGAGAGAGGGAGAGAAGGAGGAAAGGTAGGAGGGAGGGAGAGAGAAGGAGAGAGGGTGAAAGAGAAAGAGAGGAAGAGACGGAGGGAGAGAGGGGGGGAGAGAGAAAGATCTATGAGGAGAGAATCATTGATCGGCACATCCCCTACTGGGGATCGAGTCCACAACCCATGCTTGTGTCCTGGCCAGGAATCGAACCATGACCTTCTGGTTCATGGGCCAATGTTCAACAACTGGCTGGGCACCTGAGGATATTTTTTCCATTGATTTTTATACAGTAGAAGGAAGGGAAGACAGGGAGGGATGAAAAGAGAGAGAGGGGGAGAGAGAAATTCATTGATGTGAGAGAGAAACACCAATTTGTTGCAGCCCCAAACGCCCTGACAGGGGTGGGGATCAAACCAGGGTTAATTTTTCCTTTTTAAAATCTCAACTTTTTAAAAGATAAAGTATAATGGAAATAAGCCAGTTAAGGAATATTTTAAACTATACACATACTGTCACACCTTGCCATATTACTATACAACACTTTCTATTTTAAAGAGGTCTTCTAAGAACCAGCTATTCTGTAAGAAAACTAACTCATAACTTCATATGAAAAGCACATTATAAGTCTAGGGAGACAAAATGCTATTTAATTTTGCCAAGATAGTTTGAAAAGACAGGTAAACCTTATATTTGGGCAAAAGATAGTTCTCAAAGTCAGGTTCCATTTTTATTTTTTAAAAATGTACTGGCACCTGGCAGTGTGGCTCAGTGGTTGAGCATTGACCTATGAACCAGAGGGGTCACACTTCGGTTCCAGGTCAGAGCACAGGCCCAGGTTGCCAACTCGATCCCTTGTTTGGGTGTGTTCAGGAGACTGCTGATCAATGATTCTCTTATCATTGTTTCTTTCTCTCCCTCTCCCTTCCTCTCTGCAGTCAATTAAAAAAATATTAAAAAAAAAAAAACGCAACACAATTACTGGCCCTGGTCAGGTGGCTCAGTTGGTTGGAGTATCACCCATACACCAAAAGGTTATGGGTTTGATTCCTTGTTAAGGCACATATCTAGGTTAAACATTTGATCCCTGGTTGGGATGCATATAGGAGGCAACTGATCAATGTTTCTCTCTCTCTCTCTCTCTCTCTCTCTCTCTCTCTCTCTCTCTCTCAAAATCAATGAACATATCCTCGAGTGTGGATTAAAAATAAATGTACTATATAAGAATACTACAACAAATGGCTTAATGAGTGAATTATCCTATGTAATAAAAGGCTAATATGCAAATAAACCGAATGGTAGGACTGGTGGCTATAGCATGCACTGATGACCAGAGGGCAGATGCTCACCACAGGAGCTGCCCCCTGGTGGTCACTGTGCTCCCACAGGGGGAGTGCTGCTTGGCCAGCACTTTTGAAAAGTTTAGTAACAGTTCTGATAAACTGAAATTGGGTATTAAATGAACATTCCAGTATAAATGCCCAATAATAGACTTAGAGAAAGAGAGACATTCATTGATGTGAGAGACACACACCAATTGGTTGCAGCCCCAAACGCCGTGATAGGGGTCCCAGACTGTGAGAGGGCGCAGGCCAGGCTAAGGGACTCAACCCCCCACAGTGCATGAAATGCCGTGCACCAGGCCTCTAGTTATCTAATAATCCAGATTTTCGTATTCCAGATTTAATGTAAGATTTAACTATTACCTACTATAAATAATTTGGAATTTTGAATCCTGCTTGTGGTTAAAAAAATTTGTTTGCTTTCAAAGCTATATTCTTAGCTAGCTCTTGAATGACAAAATTCCAGTGGCTTTTGTATCTAGCCTATAAAAATATAATCTTGCTAGCTAATAGTTTTCAGATTATTTATAATCACCACTTGATCAAGAAGGTTAAAGAGGGAAAGTAGTCTGGTGGGACAGCCAAAATTTCAGCCATAGTATCACCCAGTAATTCTAAGATTTGAAAATCAAAATGGCTCTCTCTTAATTATGTTGAACCTAGACTATCAGCACAATGTTATAGTGATCCTCTTACCTTCTCTAGCATCAGTGATCTCTCTGGCTGGAAGTGAATGGTTGTAAGGCAGAACATAAGGGTAACAATGTGGTAATGAGGCAGCAGTGTTAGGTATGGAGAAGACAGAAAGCCTACCTTATTAGCATTAATAGCTAATGAGCACTTATTATGTTTCAGGACTAGTACCAAGTTTTTTACATATATTATCTAATTTAAGCCTCATAATAATCTACAAGTAAGTCCTTTTACTATCACCACTTTATAAAAGAAAAAACAAGCCCAAAGATCATGAGAACATCAATAGTCTAGCCAAACTCTACCAAAATTTTATCAGTGTTTGGAAATTGTATAAAACTTGGAAAACAGTGCAGTACACCACCACATTGTCTAAGTCTATTATTGGGCATTTATACTAGAATGTCTATTTAATACCCAATTTCAGTTTGCCAGAACTATTGCTAAATTTTTCAAAATATGGCTTAATGATAGCTAGTTATCTATATAGACTTTCTAATGGCTACTCATATAAGCTAACTAAACAAACGATTTAATTTAAAACAACCAGATTTGTCAAATACCAAGCTATTAATATATATGTACATATACATGTGTGTGTGTGTGTGTGTGTATTTTCAATTACAATTGACATTCAGTGTTATTTTATACTGGAGGCCCAGTGCACGAATTCATGCATGGGTGGAGTCCCTCGCCCTGGCTGGCAATTAGGGCCAACCGGGACCATCTCACCCAGTCCCAATTGGGGTCAATGGGGGCCGGCCAGCTGGGGAGATACTGCAGGAAGTTGGCTGGCTGGCCGGCCAGGGAGGGACTGCAGGAGGGCTCCAGGGCGTGTCCAGCCTGACTCACCCAGTTCCAATCAGCCGGATCCCAGCAGCAAGCTAACCAACTGGTTAGAGCGTCTGCCCTCTGGTGGTCAGTGTTTGTCATAGGGACTGGTTGAGTGGTCAACTGAATGGTCGACAGGTCGGACACTTAGCATATGTGGTTTTTATATATGTAGATTAGTTTTGGATGTACAGCACAATGCTTAGACAATTGTGTAATTTATGAAGTGATCCCCCTGATAATTCTAGTACACTTAGGACCATACATAGCTATTACAATATTATTAACTATATTCCTTACTAGAGGCCCAGTGCATGACAATTCATGCACTGAAGAGGAGGTCCCTCAGCCCAGCCTTCCCCCTCACAGTCCGGGAGCTCTCAGGGGTGGGAGGTGACCCAACTATCAGGGGAAGGTGACACCCCCATCATACCTCTGCTGCTGCCACTGCCAGCAGCACAAGCCTTGGGCGGCCGGGCAGTCACCATGTGAAGCTTGCCTGTGCCTCAGGCTGGCCCTAGGCAGCTGAGCAGACACCATCTGAGGCTTTCCTGCGCCTTGGGCCGGCCCTGGGTGGCTGGGGGGCTGAGGAGCTAGGAGACTCCAAAGGTGGGGGCGGGACCAGCCTTGCTGCGCACCTACCACCCTGGTGGTGGGGCTGACGGGAATGGGTGCCGCCATCTTGTGGCTGTGGGCACCACCATCTTTGAGGGCGGGACAGTCAATTATAGCATATTCCCTCCTTATTGGCTATGGGCACCATCATCTTTGTGATGGCATGAGGGTTAATTAGCATATTCCTTCTTTATTAGATAGGATGCTATAACAAGGTATTTCAAGGAGAAAAAAATAACAAAAGTAACAAAGAAGCTCAAAAGAAGTAAATGAACTTGAAAACTTCAAAGACTCATTTAGCAGCTAAATTTCCAGGTATAAGAGCTTTTATAAAATATCTTCCCTCTTTTGTCATAGCTGCCCCCACATGACAACAAAGGTTTTTTGGAACCATATATATGAACATGAGAAATTAAAACTTCTGTCCCTCACCCTAGCCAGTATGGCTCAATTGATTAAACATTATCCTGTGCACCAAAAGGTCAATGGTTCAACTCCTGATCAGGACACATAATCAGGTTGTAGTTTTAGTCCCTGGTAGGGGGCGTGCAGGAGACAGCCCACTGCTGTTTCTCACATCTTGTCTGTCTCTCTCCCCCTTGCACCCTAAAATAAATTTTAAAATACGTTTTTAAAAACTATGTTTGTAATATTCATGTTTGAAAATATGTATTCTTTTATATATAACTAGAGGACTAGTGTGTACAAAAATTTGTGTAATTGGGAGTAGGGGGGAGGAGCCTTCAGCCCAGCCTGAGCCTTTTCACAGCCTGGAAGCCCCTGGGGCATGCCCAACTGATGGCTTATGCCTGTAGTCAGACATCCTTAGCACTGTGATGGAGGCAGGAGAGGCTCCCACCAAGGCCGTTGTGCTCGCCCGCTATTAGCCTGGCTTGTGGCTGAGCAGCACTCCCCCTGTGGGAGCACACTGACCACAGGTGGCAGCTCCAGCCCAGCACCCCCATTGACCCTGCAATGCCAGGCATGTGCCATGACCAGTAATCAAACCATGCCAGCTTCCACTGCCATTGGTAGCCACTGTCCCCCAATCGCTGCCAGCTTCCACTGCCATTGGTAGCCACTGTCCCCCAATCGCTGTCCCCTCCCTCTGCCCACTGGCACCCGCCTTGGCTGACACTGACGGCTTGCTGGTCCTACCCCCCACCGGCTGTTCTGTTCAGTCTATTTGCATATTAGGCTTTTATTATATAGGACAAGCTCAATATAAAAACAAAGAAGTACCTACCTTTACTGGAAATTTCAACTGGTTGTACACTTCTGAAACCAGGAGATTGTGGCTAAGTGTCTTCCTCATCTTCATAATTCGAACAATTGCAGCATCAATTTGATACTGTCTGTCTTGAAATACTCTTTCTGTAGTGCTTGCTTGTTCCTCAACCTAAGAAAAAAAAGTTTCACTTAGGAATTGTATCTGAAGTTAAACTTGATTACTTACACTAATTTTACATTTTAGGAACATGACACACTGCTAATGTACTAAATATGCTGAATTATCTACAGGACCTTTTTAAATACAGTAAATTACAGGGAAAAAAACATAGCTTCTTTCTGTCCTAATTATATTGCCCTGTACCTATCAAGTAATATCAATATTAGTTAATAAAAAATACAATCTTTGAGTTGTTTTTCTAGAAGTAGACACCAGATAATATAGAATTGGTTATTTTATTATGTCCTTGAAACCTTCTAAATGTGTCACAAGGGGTTGTTGAGTAGATTTTTGTATGCTTCTCTGTAAAAATGATTGACACTGACCTCTGTCTCAAAATATCATACTAACTAGCTAAGCTAACAAGAGTCAAAATTTTTAAAAATGATTTTTGTGCCCTGTTGGTGTAGCTCAGTGATTGATCATCAACCAATGAACCAGGAAGTCATGGTTTGATTACTGGTCATGGCACATGCCTGGCATTGCAGGCTCAATCCTCAGTATAGAGCATGCAGGGAATAGCCAATCAAGGATTCTCTCTCATCTTTGATGTTTCTGTATCTCTCTCTCCGAAAAATAAATGAATAAGATTTTTAAAAATATAACTTTTATCACTAACATCAAAAGAATAGCTTGTGTCCTAACTGGTTTGGCTCAGTGGATAGTGTGTCGGCCTGCAGACTGAAAGGTCCCAGGTTTGATTCCAGTCAAGGGCATGTACCTTGGTTGCAAGCACATCCCCAGTAGGAGGTGTGCAGGAGGTAGCTGATCGATGTTTCTCATCGATGTTTCTAACTCTCTCTCTCTCTCCCTTCTTCTTTGTAAAAAATCAATACAATATATATATATATTTTTTTAAAAGAATAGTTTGGGCTTTTTACCATCAGTTTCTCTCTGATACAGCATAAATGTTTAAAAAGGACACAGTCATCTTCTAAGGCAGTGATTGGCAAACTCATTTATCAACAGTAAAATTGAAATTTCTTGTGAGAGCCAAATTGTTTTAAACTTAAACTTCTTCTAACACCACTTCTTCAAAATAGACTCAACAGGTCATGGTACTTTGTGGAAGAGCCACACTCAAGGGGCCAAAGAACCGAATGTGGCTCACGAGCCACAGTTTGCTGACCACTGTTCTAAGGGAATATCACATCTTTGATGTGAATGTGAACAAAACAGGAACTTGTCTGAGATATTGACCTCTGTCCTACATTAAAACTTTTCCTGGTTTCAATTAATGCTATGGTTCCTTAATAAAAGACATACAAATTCAGAAGGCAAAACCCAACAAAATATTCACTGTTAATCAAAGAAATATTAAATCATTCAGATTTTTCACCAAGCAAGTTGGCAAAAATTTAAAAAAGAAAATACAATCTTTAGTGCTGGTGAGGGCACTGTTAAGTCAGGCAGTCATGCTGCTAGACAAGAGTGTAAATCGGTACAGCCTTTCTGGAACACAATGTGACATAATGTATTAAGACGCTTCAAACGTTCATACTCATTGACCCAACAGATCTACTTCCATGAATTTATCATAAGTGGAGGCTCAGAGAGATTAATATTTAGGTAACAAAGAGGTTTCTTACAGTTTTATTTATAAATACTAAAATTTTTTTAGCCCTGTAAAAGAATATTATATGTCATTTTGTCAAATATTTATTTAATAGCATGAAAGAAGTCAAATATTAACACCAGTGGTAATATTATAGCTATAAAATCTTCTTTATAGCCCTAACTGGTTTGGCTCAGTGGAAAGAATGTCAGCCTGTGGACTAAAGGGTCCCAGGTTGGATTCCAGTCAAGGGCATGCATCTTTGTTGCAGGCACATCCCCAGTTGGGGGTGTGCAGGAGGCAGCTGATGAATGTTTCTCTCTCATCGATGTTTTTAGCTCTCTCTCCCTCTCCCTTCCTCTCTGTAAAAAAATCATAAAATATATTTAAAAAATAAAAAAAATCTTCTTTATCAATTTTTATCATGAACACATATAATTCCAGAGCATTAAGATGAGGAGAATGTAAAAGAAATACCGTTTCTTTCATTTGAATTTGGTTGATCTTTATCCTGAAAAGTTTGTGTTTGAAATCATCGTTACAAATGAACTTGTCACCGTCTTCGATATCTTTGCCCTTCGGATTTTTTGCCAGAACTCTAGCTTTGCCACAGGCCAAAGACTGCAGTGTTCTCCTTAACTCGCCATCCTCTGAAGAAGAAATAGTGGCTTCGTCATTTATAATAGCTCATCAACAATAGCTACATTCAACCTCAATCTAGCTTCCATCCCATCCCTCTATTAAAATTGTTTCTTTTTTACCCCACGGTCACCAATGACTCCCTCTGTATTTCATCTAATGGCTTTTTTCCCCTGGTCATCCTCTAAAGACTTCAATTACCATTCCATGTGAATTAACTACCAAACCTTCAGAAATGTTATCTCACTTCTCTCCAGCCCCACATTTGAAGGACACTCCACCTGGCTGTTTTTATTATCATCTACTCCAGTATGTTCAAAATTTTATTCATGCCGAAACCGGTTTGGCTCAGTGGATAGAGCGTCGGCTTGGGGACTGAAGGGACCCGGGTTCGATTCCGGTCAAGGGCATGTCCCCAGTAGGGGGTGTGCAACAGGCAGCTGATCGATGACTCTCTCTCATCGATGTTTCTAACTCTCGATCTTTCTCCCTTCCTCTCTGTACAAAAATCAATAAAATATGTTTTTAAAAAATTTATTCATCATCTTTCCCATAAAACTGGGTCTTTTTTCCAACTGTTAGTCATGAATCTACCAACCTATTCCGGTGAGAAACCCTGCAATTATCTTTCTTCCCCTTCATCTTCCACTTATCTAGTAAGTTGTTGCTTCCTTAGAGATGCCTCTTCTCCATTCTCATTGGCCTCATTCTAGTCTAAGCCCCTATCATTTTATGACAGAATTACCCCTCTAGTTACTGGACTGGAACCTCTTCATCTTCCAAGCTACCCTGTATAAGTCACTTCCATTATGTCACACACTTGAGACCCTACAATATGTTTCATTTCCTAGATTTGTAAGTCTCTACCCATCTTACCCTAACTTTTTAATCTACCTATTCTGTGCTGTAGTTAAACTCTTCATGACTCCTGCTCACACTGTGCTCATTGCTATCTCCAAGTCTTTTCTCACAATATTCCCACTTGCACCATATGCTTTCTCCGTAACTAAAGCTTGAAGGTCCAGCTTAAGTCCCACCCCCTTCCTAAAGGCTTTCCCAAATATACCACTCCACAGTGATCTCCTGCTTTGCCAAATTCCTTACACACTGTGAGTCAGCACCACACATTGGTACTTGAAATTATTTCAAGTGTCATTTTCCCCTTTCCCATGGTTACATTAGGAGTGCCAAAGAGAGGGATTATTCCTTTATATCCCTCCAGAGCTCTTAACCTAATGGAGTGCAGAGTAGACACTGAATAATGCTTGTTAATCAACTGATTCAACACAAACCTATTCCAGTAGCCTGCTTGATCTCTTCTAAACTGAACTCTTCTCCCTCATTAAACATCAACAGCACCAGTGTTTGAAAAAGAGACACTTGGAGTTCTTTTTTACCCTGTTGGAGAAATAGCAGTGTTTAGCCATCAGGTTTTTTTTAAAACACATGAAACATTAATCAAATAACTACTCTCTTATAGGGAAACCTTTTTTTTCTTCAATTATTGGACTTAGAAACATGGATTAACAGTATCCAGAAAAGCCAGTATGTTCAGTATTGGGTTTAGGTGTGGTCCTACCTAAAACAGGAGGAAGTATTAGGTGACCTTTCTAAAGTCTTTTTTAAAGCCTTATAATTAAAACTGAACAACAAAGCAATGAAAACTAATATCTTAGCCTTCTTATTTGTCATTACAGATTATTTATCATGAGCAGCAAGAAATCACTATTTCAAATGCATTTTTGACTTTTTTTGATTCAGGTAAGTCATGAAAAGCTGCAGGAACTCTATTCTCTAGCCCCCAGCAACAAGAAATTAAGTTTTCTGTCAAGAACTGGCAGTAGATTCTACTAGTACATCCATGGGTAGGGAAAGAGTGGGTAAAAGATTTACTGTTCTTAGTTTTCCAGCAAGGTCAAATCAACTGTGGAAAGGACCAAATTCTTATAATATACAGAAAACTGTGACAAGCTATCACTGTCATATAGGCATTAAGGATACAGTTATAAACAAGTTAGGAGGGATGACCTCAATATCAAAGATGAACATGAAAATTAAGTGTGGGGAACATCCACTTACCTCTTTAAATTCTGCCTTTAACACACAGTGTCCTAGGGTCGACTGCCATTGAAGTTTCCTGCCACTATGTTTGCCTAGGTAAAATGTCTTAAAAATCTCCTGAAGTTTTACCATCTACAGTAAATAAAATAAAGCTTTATTTAAGCTGTTTCCAATATTACACATTCACCACTCTTTATATTTACCTCACTTATACTAATTTCTGGGTGTTTTTAAGACTATCCAATAGGCCCTCTGATCACTGATATAAGGCAATGATTTCCCAATTACCAAATCTAATGGCACTTATCAGTCTTCATACTCTTGCTTTAATCATTACCTCTTTTGAAACATTTACCTCCAATGCCTTTTGTGCCTCTGCACCATTCTAGATCCTTTCTCTCACTATTGCTTCTTTATTGGTTTTCTTCACAGGTTTCTCTCCAACCACCTTCCAAATGACAGCCCTTTCCAAAGTTCTGCCTCAGCGGTCTTCTTCCTGTTTACACATTCTCCCTCCTAATGAGAGAGATCTATTCCCTGGAGGATTTTCAGTTCGCTCGCGCGTGCGCGCACGCGCTGTCTCTCTCTCTCTCTCTCTCTCTCTCTCTCTCTCTCTCTCTCTCCCTCTCCCTCTCCCTCTCTCCCTCTCTCCCTCTCTCCCTCTCTCCCTCTCTCCCTCTCTCCCTCTCTCATCTTAACCCCTTTTCTAAGCTTCACTCCTAAGTTCAACATTTCCCCAAGGAGTTAGGATGGATTTATTCAAGCAATCATCACTCAGCCATCCAATCCCCAGGTGACACATGAGCAAGACTTTTTGAGCACTGAGCAGAGAGGTGAGTACTATCTTGGAAAATGAAAGAAGACCCAGGGAAATCAGCCCTGAACCCAGAAACTTGGCATTTTTATACTCTAATGATATTAATGCAAAAGTAATATAAATAGAAGAGTAAAATATTAAAATAGCTGGCATTTTGTATTGGTGTGCTTAATGACACCAACTTTTATTAAAAGTATTTTTCAATGACAAACAAAATATAAGTGCCATGTATTTCTATGCTTATAACACAAGTTCTAAACAGCAACTCTTACCTCTGGCGGTAAATGGACTTCCATAGGCACATATGTTGGCCAATAACCCATTGTTAGGATATTCACAGTTAATTCAATATTCCCAGGTACATTCTGGTTCTGCATATACTACAATAAGATCAAACACACACACTGAGATTTTAAAACTAAAAATGCAAACATTTCATTTCAGAATAATGACCCATTCAAGAAGTTTCCCATTATAAAATTACATGCAAATGCTGACCATCTCTAAAATAAAAGGCAACTATTAAAGGACTACAAATGAAGCCTATATTAAATGCACTACAAAAGTGCACTGGTTAACATTTTGTTACAATGGCACAAGGTCACATGACCTTGTTAGAGGCATTATCAACTTAAGTGGTCTCTCACATATAGCTGGGCTATTATAGGATCTCTTCTCCATTGTTTTCCCCATACCACCTGTAGTCCCCACTTTTGGAGACCCCTATGTGGTTTGAACACCTTGCAGAAACCCCATTTCTCACCCCACCAGCCAGCCCAAGTCTCTGGTTTTTCACTTGCTCCACCGCCTATTTGCAGGGGGTCACCTGAAGTGGGGAAGGAAGAAAAAAGCGAAAGGGCAAAGCAGATAAACCCTATTCTGAGGCTACCATAGGACCCATGATCCTACTGATTCTGATCTTGCTCTTGATTTCCCGCTGTAGCAATATAGTGGTAAAGAGGTCACTATTAAAACCCTAAGAGAAGAAAATCTCGTTTGCTATCACACTATTACCTATGTTTTTAAATATTTCAAAACTACCTCTCACAACATCTGTGAAATTGTGGATCTAGCTTCTCATTGCCAATGTTCCCAAAGGCTTTACACAACCACTCTGTCACATCTCCTCCCTCTCCATTGCCAGCTTTCAACATGTGAATCATCAACAGTGATTAGATGCTAGAAAAATTCCTGGTCTATCTAGCTCCAGCTTTTCTTGTTCTGACTTCAGCTCAATACACTTTCTTTTTTTCTTCTCATTTTTTTTATTAAGGTATTATATGTGTATTTTTATTTTTTTTAATATATATATATTTTTTATTGTTCTTTTACAGAGCGGAAGAGAGGGATAGAGTGTTAGAAACATCGATGAAAGAGAATCATCGATCAGCTGCCTCTTGCACCCTCCCTACTGGGGATGTGCCGGCAACCAAGGTACATGCCCTTGACCGGAATCGAACCTGGGACCTTTCCGTCTGCAGGCAGATGCTCTATCCACTGAGCCAAACCAGTTTCTGCTGTATTTCTATTTTTGTGCTATTATGGATATACATTGAAAATATTAAGTAGGTCAAATATACTTACATTTCACTTACATTGCTATGAAATATTTACAAAAACATGTTTCTATTTATCCTTTTCAGTGCAAACCACAGCAAGGAGATTAACTAAATATATTTAAGTTCAAGGGATGAAGTAAGAGTTTAACTCACTTTTACCTGTTTGAACTGAATCATGATGTCTTTAGAAAGTTCCATGTCTTTAAACATTCCTTCAAGTTTGCTGGTGAAAGCAGCTCCACATTCTATTAAAGATGTTTATACATTTATAATATTTCAAAACAAGGAATTTAAAATTAAAAACAAGGAATTTAAAATTAAAAACATGAATGTAAAACAAAGTAATAGTATGAATTATGATTTGTAATTATTCATAAGAATAAAAAAATCCCTACCCCAAAGTGTATGCCCCACTAATTGAGAATCAAACTCTTTAATCCTATAGTAGTAACCTTATCTCCTATTTAGGAATAAAATAAACAGAAAACATTTTATACAAATAATAAAAACAAGAAGAATCTTTTATTTTTAAGAATCACAACAGCTCTGGATATGTTTGCAAAAATAAGCAGGAAACCCCATGAGCTGACTTAATTTGCATTTTCATCACACGAACATAGAATAATTGACAAAACAGTAAAAATTAAGCTAACGCCCCTCCCCTTCCCAGAAATTAAAGAAGAAATGAACAGAAAGAATGACAAACATACCATGTTTAAGTTTTGAGAGCATTGATTTTTCAGCATCTACAGATGCACTCTTCCCAACTAACAGGCGTTTGGCTAAATCTTTCTTATAGAAGGCCTCAAAAACATCCTTGCCTATTTTAAATAATAAAACATTCCAATTAAAAGTTCTGACAAAATTGCTTTGAAGTATTTAATAAATCACACCATTATGCCAAGTTATTTAAATTTATATTTTATCCAAGTTCGTTAAATGCAAGAAATATTAGAAGCAGACATTTGTATCAGATGCTTCAAAAGTTCCTTGTGCCCTGGCCAGTATTTCTCAGTGGTTAGAGCATTGGCCCACACATTGAAGGGTGGCAGGTTCAATTCTTAGTCAAGGGATCGGGCTCATACCTGGAGTACAGGTTTAATCCCCAGTTTTGGTCAGCATGTGCAGGAGGCAACCAATCGATGTCTGTCTATCCCTCCCTCCTTCCTTCCCTCCCACCCTTCTTTCTACTCTATAAAATCAATGGGAAAAAATACCCTAGGGCAGTGGTCAGCAAATCCATTAGTCAACAGAGCCAAATATCAATGGTACAACAATTGAAATTTCTTTTGAGAGCCAAATTTTTTAAACTTAAACTTCTTCTAACACCACTTCTTCAAAATAGACTTGCCCAGGCCGTGGTATTTTGTAGAAGAGCCACAGTCAAGGGGCCAAAGAACTGAATGTGGCTCGAGAGCAGCAGTTTGCTGACCACAGCCCTAAGGTGAGGGAGGATTAACAAAGTTCCTTGCTACAAAGAATTAAGCCTGCATTAACTTTTCTTTAGAAAAGTTTCAGTCACCTTAGCTGGTTTGGCTCAGTGGATAGAGTGCCAGCCTGCAGACTAAAGGGTCCCGGGTTCAATTCTGATCAAAGGGCATGCACCTAGGCTGCAGGCTTGATTCCCTGGCCCTGGCCAGTGTGCATGTGAGAGAGGCAACCAACGGATGTGTCTCTCTCACATCCATGTTTTTCTCTCTCTGTCTCTCTCTGTCCCTTTCACTCTCTCTAAAAATCAATGGAGAACTGTCCTTGGGTAAAGATTAAGAAAAAAATTTTTTTTTAAAATTTAAAAGAAAAGCTTTAGTCAATTAGTAGCTTTAACATCAATACTCTAGAGATTACAACAAGTAACAAAAATCAAGGGTACTAATAATGGAAAAGTCAAAACATAGGGCAATTAAATAATATTCCTCAAGCATCCCAATGAATTAAATGCAAGGAATGTAATCAAATTTTAAATATTCCAAATAGAATTTTACATTAACTCCCAAATAATTCTCCTTTCAGGTTGCTAATTTCTGTTGAGTGTTTTAAAAGAAAAATATTAAAATTAAAATAAACTTACCATAGATAAATCTAAATATGATCATAATTTTATCCAACATTTTTTCAAGTTCCTCATCTGTAGCTTCTTTGTTGCCGGCACGAAGCTTTGAATCTACATACTTAGCTAAAATGGGGGGGAGGGGAAGTTTGTTGTTTAGTGATCACAGATATCCTTATAATACTGGGCATTACATATACCCAAACAGAAGTATGATATACTGAGTTTTTTAGTACCTCAGAGGTATACATGCATTTCTTTAAACAATGTCACAGAGTTTGCAAATATTACAGTCTTAACTCAAATCCAAGTCTTCTGGCTCCAGACCAAATGTACTTTCCAATAAAGTATCCATTTTTACAATAATGATAAGCAATCTTAAAACACTATTTTTCTATTAAAACAAACCACATGAATAACAGAGTTGAAGGCAAAATTTACAAAAAATTTTAAGTAATACACCAATGAAATTTTATCCTTTTCGCAGAGACCCTATACCTTCTCAGAGTAATCTTCTGACATTAAGGGGTACTGAGGTGTGAAAACCTGAGAAACACAGTAAATCACACCCTTACACGAAGAGGGCCCAGATTATTTGGTTTGTTTTTGTCCTAAGCATTTCATTTTCTCATTGGCAATTTTAATTTCTGCTATACTTTCTAGTACCCTTAACTTTGAGCCTCTAAAAATAGCTCACTGGTCCTCTAAACTGCTGTGGGCTTATAAAATAGATCTCAAGCTTGTTATAAACAAAAATAAATAGGGTCCAATGTACTGTCGTACAATGAAAGAACATTATGTCTGACAGGTTGGCTTTGAGTCTTTCTTTAGTTTCAAGAACTAATAGTCCTTACATTCGGTTTCTTAGAAACTACCAGCTAAAAAACATCAAACAAATGGTGCTGATATATTGCCATCCTGTCAAAATTTCAGATTAACTGTAATTTTATGAATAAAAGAAAAACATTTAATAACTAGAAAAAGAGACTGGAAAAGTACCTATAAGTTCGGCAGGTTTGTTTGGTCTCTTGTTAATGAATGTTTCAAATGCTTCTTTCATGGCGTTGATAAATTTTTCATTCTTCATGAAACAGATATCAATAATATGGTCAACCTTATCTTTAAAATCCAGCAATTCTTGAACCATGGTTTTATCTTTTTCAGGATTAATTACAATTGTGCTGCCAAATGCCTAAAAACAAAAATTACCACTTTTTACTAAAATTGAATTATCCACAATGAAAACAATCCCCAAATCATATTTTAAGTAGGCATACATATTTTTAAATCTCAACAAGTAAAATAAAGCTGTTTCTGAAGTCAGGATAAAATAAAGTGATAAAACATCTAGACTGATACCATTCCTCTGTACCATAAAATAACGAATGAGCACTGAGTATACAATATCATAATGGGACATGATTGTAAGTCTCTAGGCTCTTTTTCCTACTTTTAAAGAAGTCAATTTTGCCCTAACTGGTTTGTTTCAGGGTTAGAGCATTGGCCTGCAGACTAAAGGGTCCCAGGTTTGATTTCAGTCAAGGGCGTGTACCTTGGTTGTGAGCACATCCCCAGCAGGGGGTGTGCAAGAGGCAGCTGATCGATGATTCTCTCTCATCGATGTTTCTAACTCTCTCTCCTCTCCCTTCCTCTCTGTAAAAAGTCAATAATATATATATATTTAAAAAGAAGTCAACTTTAAGTTTTATAAAAATGGTGATCTGCCTTCGGATTTAAGAAAGGAAAGACTTAAGAAAGAAAATTTTGGATCTAATAAAAGTCCTCTTTCCATATTCACTGCCATATAAGCATTGTAGTTAGAAATTACAGACAATATCAAGAAGGTAAATGTTTCATTGCTGATTTACCACACAGCTATCATTCTCAGGTTGTCTGCTCTCAAAACACCCATTACTTTAAAAAATGGGGCCCAACCAGAGAGGCTCAGTTGGTTGAATGTCATCCTGTGCACTGAAAGATTGCCAGTTAGATTCCCAGTAAGGGCACATACTGGGTTTGATGACTTCAGGGCAACCAATTGATGTTTCTTTTTCACATCAATGTTTCTTATCTCTCTTTCCTTTCTCTCTCTCTCCCTCCCTCCAAGTATGTCCTCTAAGGATTAAAATTTTATTTATTTATTTGTTTGTTTGTTTATTTAAATTCTCACCCAAGGCTATTTTTCCATTTATTTTTAGAGAGAGTAGAAGAAAAACAGAAAGATAGAAATATTGATGTGAGAGCAACACAATGATTGGCTGCCTCCTGCACACACCCCAACCAGAGCCCAGGCTGGGAAGGAGCCTGCAATGAAGGTATGTGCCCTTGACCGGAATCAAACCTGGGACCTTTTGGTCCTCAGGCCAATGCTCTAGACACTGAGCAGAACTGGCTAGGTAGGGCTAACATTTTTTAAAAAATACTGGACCTAACAAGTACTAGTAAAAAATACTTGCTGAAATGCACTCTAGGTGTACAGATTAAACCATGATGGAGAAAAAACCACAAGTTAATTGTTAGTACCTTAATGTATTCAATCCACTGTTGCAAGAGAACCTGAACTCCCCCTCGAACTCTACTAAAGAGCTGATACAGAAGAGATAAATCTTGAATTCGGTTTTCATCAAGAAGGTTATTTAAACCTGAAATTTGAAACATTTTGATATTTAAAAAGTAAACAAAAATGACAGATATTTTAATGAAAATTAAGTTAAATTATTATTGCAATACTGGCCTGAACTATGACTAGTCTGTGGATTTTATATAGAGATTTGCTTTAAATTAAACCCAAAAAGAAAATCACCTTTCCAAGTAAAAACTAAACATAGGAAAGTTTAACCTATATAAAAACAATTGTGTAACAACTTGTACCATTTAGCATGGTAGATCAAATGTATAAACCAATTTATAAAAATAAATTTGCGTAAATGCACATTATAAAAATCTCATCTCTCTAGTAGCCATACTATACCTGGCATTAGTGTACATAGCTGTATTTCAAAGTATTGGATATGGCCTGTAGTATATCAAGAACCATACATTAATAGGCCAAGTTTAAATGAGGTTCTAATGTATTTGATTTTCAGAATGAAGTAACAGTGTTACTGTATTCAAGTTCTAAAGTATACCCATTTTATACAAAAGAAAAGATGGTTGAAGAGAAAAGACTTTTTTTTTACCTATCACTGGCATTATCAAAATAAATGCAGGGTATACTCTAAGATCACTTAGCAATGCTTGGTAGAAGTGCTTGATTTTATATGCTACAAACAAAAACACTTTAATGCAAAACAGAATGCCTTTTCTTATTGTAGTGTTACAAATTAAATCAAGAATTCCCAAATTCCCACTGTTTTTTCACCAGTATTGGTGGATCTCTCTCATCTCAGCTCCTATATCTTAAGTTAAGGAAAGGGACACCTCTTGAAAGTTTATTGTGATGAATAGGAAAAAAAGGATTGTATCCATCCTTACAAGTGCAGCCATCACATGCTGTCAAGCTTTTAAAAGTTCAATCTTTAAATTTGTTTCAGTTGTTTGCTGCTGCCTGATTTATAAATTGCCAATTACCTTTCTGAAGAATTGCTGTTAAGTGTTCACCAAGAAGCTGTTTTTCTACAGTAGCGATTAATGACTTCCTATAAAGAAAAAAAAAGAGTTTAGAATTACCGAGGTTTGACTTTTCTGAAATTTTAAAGCCTCTTCTGGGTGAGAAAATCAAATAGTACATTTTATGTTCATTTTAATATTCTATCCTATGTATAAACTTATTGGTGATCAGCATTACTCTATGCCTAAAAGAAGGAAAATACTGTGTATTTCAAAACTTGATTTACACTATGAAATAAACTAGAGGCCTAGTGCAAGGATTCCTGCACATTGAAAAGAAATTAATTAGAAAGTGGCTAGTGGGATTGGACTGGGCGAGACAGGCCCGACACACCCTGGAGCCAATCTCCTGTGGTCCTTCCCTGACCACTGCACCCAGCTGGCGCTGGAGCTCAAAGGGGGGCCCACAGAGTGATCAGGGTCCCTCCCGCAGGTGGGTCCCCTGCCTGGTCTGCAGGGATCAGGCCGAAACCAGCAGTTCAACATCCCCCAAGGGGTCCTGGAGAGCGACAGGGCACTCTGTAAAGTTGCTGTTGTTTGGCAGCTCCTGAGTTGAGCATCTGCCCCCTAGTAGTCAGTGCACATTGTACCTACCAGCTGGTCAGTTGGTCACTTAGCTTTTTATATATACACTAGAGGCATGAAATTCATGCACTGGGGGGGAGGGCTGTGTCCCTCGGCCCAGCCTGCACCCTCTCCAATCTGGGACCCCTCAGTCCTTTCACAATCCAGGACTGCTGGCTCCCAACCGCTCATCTGCCTGCCCAATTGCCCCTAACCGCTTCTGCCTGCCAGCCAGATCACCCTTAACCACGCCCCTGCCAGCCTGATCAACACCTAACTGCTTCACTTCCTGCCGATTGCCCCCAATTGCCCTCCCCTGCAGGTCTAGTTGCCCTTAACTGCCCTCCCCTGCAGGCCTGATCACCCACAAGTTCCCTCCACTGCCAGCCATCTTGTGAAGACATGGGCGTGGCCATTTTGTGACCACATGGGGGCAGCCATCTTGTGCAAGGGTGTGACAATCAATTTGCATATTACTTCTTTATTAAATACTAGAGGCCCAGTGCGCAAAATTTGTGCACTCAGTGGGATGGGGGCCCCTCAGCCCGGACTGCACCCCCTGAGTCTGGGAGCCTTTGGGGGATGTCTGACTAAGCCATCAGTCAGACATCCTTAGCACTGCCATGGAGACAGGAGAGGCTCCCACCACTGCCACTGCACTTGACAGCTGTGAGCCTAGCTCAGGGCTTCTGGCTGAGTGGTGCTCCTCCTGTGGGAGCACACTGACCACCAGGGGGCAGCTACTGCATTAAGCGCCTACCCACTCTGGTGGTCAGTGCACATCACAGCAACTGGTCTTTCTACCGTTCGGTTGATTTGCATATTAGGCTTTTATTATATAGGATGATGATTATATAGAATAAATATTTCCAAGGTCTTGCTACGGCTGCCTTTTTCAAGTTTCTCTGCTTTTATTAGGAAGGTAAAGAAATTATCGGTGCTGCTTACTGGAACTCCTTATTTTGGTAATATATAGGGGAGCACAGAAACAGTTTCTACTATTCACACCCACTAAATTTATTTGTCCCAAAGATTTCAAAGATAACCTGCTTCTAGCATTATTTTTAAATTATATCCTAAACACATACAACCAATAATCATATCCTTAACCTTAATCAAATAACTTAAAGATTATATTATAAAAATAATTGTTAAGAAATCTCAAGTCACATCTGAATATAGTTACTAATATACTGAGGGATGCCTAAAGTGCCTTAAGCAATTCCACAACAAAGGTTAAGGCTATTAGGCAGAGCTTGTCATACTTACTGGGTCGTCTGATCTAAGTAAGTAATAAGTCTGTCTGCTTCTTCTTCTAGACGTTTGTTAACATGATGAAGATATTCAGGAACCTACAAAGATAGTTTTTTATATTATTGTTTTCCTCCCCATAAATCATTCAGAAAATGTCAAGTCCAAAAGATCCTGGAAGCAGCCCTGCCAAATGTGGCAGGGTTGAATCATATGTAAAATTATAGGTAGAGTTTATGATCCAGAATTCTGGCCTTTAAGAAGAGAGAAAAGAAAGGAGCACCTAAGTGAGAGAAAAGCATCACAATGTTGGGAAGATAAATGCAAAGGGCAGCTTATGTTCTATAAGTAAGGTCTATTGTGAATACAGTGGATTTAGTAATCATGACTTTTAAATACCTCTCTTTCCTGCATTAATTTTTGGCCTTCAGCTGCATAAAGCCGGTTAGTTTCTTCCAAAAATCGTTGTTCAAAAGAATCCTGGTAAATCTAGGAGAAACAAAATACAGGAGTTTATTCATTAACTACTTATTGAATGTTCTTTATGTAAACAGCATTATTTGGTTTTTACACATCAAACTAGGGATAAGCATCAACTCTGTATTAAGTAGTTAACTTACTTGCAAGTCAGAGAGCATGCTTAAAAGGCTTCGGAGTAAACTTCTATCAATTGCTTCACCGTTCCTTTCCCTCTCAATCAACAGAAGAATGCCATCAATTGTCTTAGTCTGGACTTTTTGATCACTTATAATATGAGCCCTAAATAACTCCAGTCCCATGTCCCTAAAATAAAAATATAAATTAATTGACAGCGACACCACTTCTGGAGAGACAAATATGTTAATTAGGACTTCAGACTTTGAAACAGCCATTGTATAAGGATAAAATCCACACATTTAATCTATATATAAAAAAGCCTAATATGCAAAGTGTCCCCTTGGGAGTTCGACCAACCAGGAGTTCGCTCGCTCGCTATGACATGTGACCACCAGGGGGTGGTGCAGAATGAAGGCCCCCAGCCAGTGGCCAGCAGCCAGGGAAGGAAGGCCCTGGCTGGCAGCTGGCAGCCACTAGGGACTCTACCTGTGCACAAATTTCGTGCGCTGGGCCTCTAGTTTCAAATAACATTATTAAACTAAAGTATACAAAAAACTCATTTTGTCTCTAATGAGAAATAAGGCTAAACTCCTATCTTCCTCTAGAACCAAGTTTTATTATATTATCTCCTTTGGTGGATTTCTTCCTTGGTCAAATTAAAGAGACAAAATTAGTTCAAGCTATAAAATGGTTTTCACTGTACTGTTAATGAAGGCTTAATTGGTCATTTGTCATCTGGCTTTAGTATTCAAAAATCAGCAACTCTGATAATTGCTATAGGTAGATGCTAGATATACATGGTGGGGGAAGAGCTCATTACACTATTCTATTTTCCTGAATAGATGGAATTTTCCATAAAATTGTTAAAAGATAATGAGCATCCCTGGATAAATGGATGGAGAAGTCAGCCCTCAGACTGAAGGGTTGTGGGTTCAATTCTGGTCAAGGGCATGTACTCAGTAGTAGGCCCCAAGCAACCAATCAATGTGTCTCTCTTATATCCATGTTTCTCTCTGTCTCTCCTCATCCTTTTCACCTTCTCTAAAAATCAATGGAAAGCCGAAACCGGTTTGGTTCAGTGGATAGAGCATTAGCCTGCGGACTGAAAAGTCCCGGGTTCGATTCCAGGCAAGGGCATGTACCTTGGTTGTGGGCATATCCCCAGTAGGGGGTGTGCAAGAGGCAGCTGATTGATGTCTCTCTCTCATTGATGTTTCTAACTCTCTATCCCTCTCTCTTCCTCTCTGTAAAGAATAAAAATAATAATAATAAAATAAAAATCAATGGAAAAATATCCTCGGGTGAGGATTAACCACAACAAAAAGATAACAAGCAAATTCTTGATCAACAACAAAATGATACACATTTATAGATAGTTCAGAGTGAACTTTTAATTCCCATAGAAAAACTTTATAAATTATTATAGGCTCAGTGAATGTTAGCTATCTCTAATATTAGCATAAAACATAATTAAGAAGGTAAAACTGCCATATAGGTTTTTAGAAACCAAATGTGAGGTTTTAAGAGAATATTCACAATATTACTTAGTCTCTCCAATTAGTATAATTAAGATTTAAAAATGATTTTTAACAAATCTTTTCAAAATTTTTTTTCTATCATCCTTACCAAATGGAGGGTAGCATTGAATTCTGAAGAACATAAGTTCTATCCAGAAACAAAAAAATGCTCCTGATCATGATCTGTCAATAAAAAAAAAAAGAAATCAAGCAATTTTTATATTCTGTGAGGCTAAAATACTTGCTCAATAAAGAATAAAATTGTAGCATTTGCTTGAATATATACTAGACTACTAGGATAAAACATACAGATGAACAGATATACCACAGAATATGGCCAATTTTTATTAAACTACTCTATTATCTTTATCCCTCTGTAGTTCTCATAAAAGGGTCACTCAAAATGATCCTATGACTTCTTTGCGACTTGAAAAGTAACTGAGGTCCTGGTGGGGTAGCTCAGTTGGTCAGAGCATCATCCCAATATACTCAAGTTGCAGGTTTGATCCCTGGTCTGGACACATACAAGAATCAACCAATAAGTAGAACAACAAATATAAAATATATATATCTCCATCCCTTCCTCTAGTTCTAAAATCAATAAATTTTTAAAAACTGAAAATAAAAAACGGAATCAAGTCCTAGACAGTGTGGTTCAATGCTTAAGAGTATTGGCCTAGGCACCAAAGAGTTGCAGGTTTGATTCCTGGTCAGGGCACATACCTAGGTTTTGGGTTCGATCTCCAGTAGAGGTATGTACAGGAGGCAATCAATCAATGTTTCTCTCTCAAATCAATGAACATTTAAAAAAATTAAATGCTTGCTTATCTATAACTTGCATTTTCAAAACCAAAACCAAAACCAAAATTAGTTTCCAATTCAGAAGAACAGATATGGAGGCAGGTCCTTACTGCATAGCTTTTAAAACTAACATTCCTGTATTTGAAGAAATTTATTTTTTAACTATAATATTTAGTTGAAATGTAATACCTTTTCCAGCTTACCATTTGTCTACAGTGGTTCTGCCAGCATTTATCAATCTTCTTTAGAAAAAGAACACTATCCAATGAGTCTGTGAGATGTTCGTCAAGGATATTTTAAAGTGCTTAATACAAGTGGCATGTGCAAAGTAAGAGCACATTTGTCTTAAATTTGGAATACCTTACATACTAATGAAACTAATAGTACTTATAGAAAAAAATGCCATTTCTTAAACTGTAAAAATATTATATCTCACTAAAAATACCTAAAAAACAAGTCATGACCTAGCTGGGTTATCACAGTGGATAGAGTGTCGGCCTACAGACTGAAGGGTCCCAGGTTTGATGCTGGTCAAGGGCACATGCCTGGGTTGCTGGCTTGATCCCCAATAGGGGGCATGCAGGAGGCAGCCGATCAATGATTCTACCATTGATGTTTATCTCTTTCCCTTCTTCTCTGAAATCAACAAAAATATATTTAAAAAAAAAATAATTGAGCATTGTGTTTCCAGTTTATGATTTCCTTAAATTATCTTTCTTCAAATGGAAATTTGTTAGGGCAAAGAAAGGGTAAAGATGCAAGAACATCTTATTTACATTAATACCACATAGTAGACTTACATCCTAATTAAAGCTAAAAAAATTCTTTTTTCTCTAGAAGCAAAATACACAAAACTAAATCTATAAAACACAACTACAGTGAAACCTCAGTTCTCAAACTTTGTTCCAGAAGGCTGTTCAAGAAGCAATTTGTTCGTAAATATGTTTTTTTTTTCCATTAGAAATCATGTAAATTGAATTAATCCATTCCAGACCCCCCAAATGATTGTTTTAACCTTTCTTATATAAAGTACATGTCTCATACTGTTTAATCTATAAATGAACAATTCTTTTCTTAAATTTATCGAACCAGACCCTACTATCCTTAAAGGAATCACTTTCAGCTCTTGTTCTTTAGGTGTCTTTAAGATCAACATGCAGCAACTTTGCTTTTTCACATTATCACTCTCTCTGAAATGCTGTCACTGGCTAACTGCTTTTCCCTTATCCAAATCAACAACAGTTTTTCTACCTCTCCAATTGTCCATGATCATTTTTTGTTTCACACCCTTAGCAACATTAGCATTCTCGATGGCCTTTTTGTTTTATACTTGTACTAATTGTGGGATTTCACCAGCAACAAAAGCATTCTCTCCTTTGTACAAGCATGAAAGGGTTGTCAGGTCAAAAACCAAAACAGTTGGTTCAACAACGAAGATATTATTTTTGTAAACAACTTGGTTGAAAACTGAATTATTCAAGGTGGGAGACATTAGAGAAATGAGGTTTGACTGTATTCCATTTCAAGCTGGATTAAATAGCGAGGAATAGGAAGAGAGTAAATGATAAAACTACAAGATGTTTTGCTTTTAAAAGGATATTCTCTGAACTGATGAATTTGTGCTTTGATGTGATCTTCACAAATCTGTCTCAGCTGTTTGTACAAGTTTGCAGAAATCTTGTAAGAACAGAGATTTTCTACAGCCTGTAAGATTAAACACACACATGCTTAAGGGAAGAACGGAGTGGGGAGTGTTTTCAATTACTTACATATATTTTTATTAATTTGGTATTTTTACCATGTAAGCTTATTAAAAAGGGTTGAACATCTATTTAAAACACAAAGTAAAACAACAATGTACTAACAATGTGGGTGGTAAACTTTTTCATAACCAATGTACTATAATTTATTGATTATGGCTGTAAAGGTCTTAAGGATGGGGGGAATCATGCCAAGCCTCTCTCCCCCATGTAAAGGTGAAGGCATTCAATTTATAATAACTGCTACATATAAATGCTGTCTTGTTTAAAATGCCCATTGTTTATAAATAAATAAATAAATAAATAAATAAATAAATAAATAAAATGCCCATTGTTGTCATAAGCAAAAGTCTATTTTGAGCCTAAAAAATAATTTCACCAATTTTTCATCATTAAGGTTGGGCATTCTGACCACCACTGAATAAAATTTTAATAATTTGGTTCTCACCCTAACCGGTTTGGCTCAGTGGATAGAGCATCAGCCTGCAGACTGAAAGGTCCCAGATTCAATTCCTGTCAAGGGTATGTACCTTGGTTGCGGGTACATCCCCTGTAGGAGGTGTGCAGGAGACTGCTGATTGATGTTTCTCTTCCATCAATGTTTCTAACTCTCTATCTCTCTCCCTTCCTCTCTGTAAAAACTCAATATATATATTTTTAAAAAATAATAATTTGGCCGAAACTGGTTTGGCTCAATGGATAGAGCATCGGCTTGGGGACTGATGGGTCCCGGGTTCGATTCCGGTCAAGGGCATGTACCTTGGTTGCGGGCATATCCCCAGTAGGGGGTGTGCAAGAGGCAGCTGATTGATGACTCTCTCTCATCTCATTGACGACTCTCTAGCTCTCTCCCTTCCTCTCTGTACAAAATCAATAAAATATATTTTAAAAAAATAATAATTTGGTTCTCATGAACAGAATGCAGAAATTACTTCTAGCAGTATTTTAAGTATGATGTAATTAGACACTAAGAATTTTTCTCTGTTTCAGTTTTAAAATATTTAAATATAGGTTTCAAAATTTGAGCTGAATAAACATTAATTATAAAAGAAATGACTGTATTTTTACTTCATTCTAATAGTTGAATTGGTCTTCTTTTATACTCAGCTCCTAAAAAGGACAAACTTCAGATTTCAATGAGTTTCTTGTTATGTATATCAAAAGACTTTCAAATTTAAAACAACAGCATGGGTAAAACTCTTTGGATGAGCTCCAATATAATCTATAATTCCAACTAGTTATGACTTTAGTATAATATCAGGATTCCTGTCTTACTATAACAGAAGGCAAAAATTCATTAAAACTGACTCTAAAGAAGGATCCAAGTTCTGTTGGTTGAAGAGGAATTTATAAATATGTAGTTGTTAGTCATATTGCCAGTATGCAGGTCCAATAAATGAATTAGCAAATGAAAGAAAGCTTAAAGGAAACCATTATACCATTGGAGGAAAGGAGTCACAACTCACCAGAAAACAGCAGTCCAATTAGATCCAGCAGCTAAGGAGGAATAAGAAGGCCACTTTCCTAGGGTTAGGCCTCAAATGTCTAAAAGGTATCTTTATATTTATTCATGTGCCTTTCTGTTCATATTGGTCCTCTATGGACTCTCCCCTTCCTCCTTTAGGATTCTTCTCATTGTATCAAGGTGATCCTTTTGAGGGACTCATTTTCTCAGCATTTCTCATTTTCCTGCTTAGATTCTGTCTTTCTACTTCATCTTATCCACATTTCCCACCCACTTCCAGTACTTCTCCAAGTCCTATTCCTCCATTCCCTTCTGCTGTATTCCTCCTTCTCCCATATTGTAGTCCTCAACACATCTATTTATCTTCTCACACAAGATACCATATTCTCTCACTACTCAACTAGTCCTCCTTCTTCCAATAAAGTTTTCCTTAATTGCCTCAGCAACTAGTGACACACCTGGCATACCACTGATGTCACTGAGTCAATACCACATGTCTTCATGTGTATATCATGTCTCCATATTCTCCTTAATGACAGAAAGAGACCATGTGTTCAAGTCTCTACTGATATGTGTTTGTTAATACTTTTTGGGCTTTGAACCAGGTGAACATAGTAAATACAAAAAAAAAACAACACAAAAACACACACACACACACACAAAAACAAAACAAAACAAAACAACAACAACAAAAAAAAACACTAACATACCTCTAACTAGCAATGTGTGTGCACAAAGAAGAAGCTTTTATGGTGTAAGCAGAAAACATACAATTATAGCCGAAACCGATTTGGCTCAGTGGTAGAGCGTCGGTCTGCGGACTGAAAGGTCCCAGGTTCGATTCCGGTCAGGGGCATGTACATTGGTTGCGGGCACATCCCCGGTAGGGGGTGTGCAAGAGGCAGCTAGCTGGTTGATGTTTCTCTCTCATCGATGTTTCTAGCTCTCTCTCTCTCTCTCCCTTCCTCTCTGTAAAAAAATCAATAAAATATATTTAAAAAAAACACATACACTATTTATAATACACTAATTATAATACACTATGATAGATGCTGTGATAGGGATAAACAGAGGTGCGGCCCCTAATCCAGTCTTTGGGCAGAGACAAGTCAGGAAAGATTTTTTGAGCAGAGGTAAAGAGGTAGAGTCCAAAAAGA